CCAACTAGGCAACATCATCAGTGATAGCAGGCTGAAAACCTTACATTTAGCACTGATGTTACCTAGCTGGGTAATGAAACGTCTGCAAGAAAATAACCAAGCTCAGAGAGCACCAAGGACCCCTCAAGTTGGAACTTTATTGCAACTCCATCAGGGAATTATGTGCTGCTGCTATTACTTGAATGCTTTGCAAAGGAAAAATTAAATTGCAGAGGTATCTCTTCAGGCCGCTGAGTGGTGTGGTGGCCTAGAGGCGGAGCTCTCGCCTCACCATCAGGAGGCTGGGGGTTCGACCCGAGGTAGAGGCAGATATTCCTCTCCTCTCTGGGCGTGATGAGAATATCTCTGCTGAACAAAACTCTGCACTGGCAACGGGAAGGGCATCCGGCCAGTAAAAGCTCTGCTGGCCCCATTCAGTTGCCCAGACTCCACCCCGCATGGATTATGGGGGTTACAAGATGATGAAGATCTCTTCAGGCAACTGTTTTGTTTTAATAGCCCTCTGACCTGGAGGAAGCATTCGGTGAATTTTGCAGACTTTCCGGAAACATTCCCCACGGTAATCTTCCAACGGGGTCCTCTTGTTGAAATGAACAGTGACTGGAAACTGCCTCGCATCCACCTGACACAGAAAAGACCACAGGCAAATAAATAAGTAAGTAAGTAAGTAAGTAAGTAAAAAGTGCTAAATTGCAAGAAGACACCGAAAAAATATGGTCTGAACCGGGATTTAATCGACATTATCAGAAGGTTCTGGATTAAATTACTGCCCCCGTTCCTTCAGGTTTTTTTCCCAGAATAAAGGCCTGCCATTTATTTTACGGTTCACATAAATACGATCTGTAATTATAATACAGGCAGTCCTTGGCTTATGACCACAACAGAGCCCAGTGGATAAGCAAGACAGCTAAAAGCGAGGTTCGGCCCATTTTAGTGCTTTTTCTCGCCACCGTCGTTAAGTGAATCACTGCAGTTGCTCATGCCCGTCGGAGTCTGAATCCGAGGAGGAAGACGAACAGCTGACACAGGGAGTGGGAGTGCGGCTCCATTGGCTGTGGAGGAAACTGGGGAAGGGCAAAGTCCGGCTGGGCAGAGCAGGGGATAAGTAGAACAAGGGAGAGTGAGTTCATAGGAAGACTCAGGCCCACCCCCCTCTTCGTCCTAGGGCATGCAGGGAGGAACGGAGAAGAGTGCAATATGGGTTGCATGGCTTACGGGGGAGGAAAGGGCCCTGATTCCCTTCATTAGGCACACCTGGGAATGAGAGTTTAAAAGAGATGCATGCTGAATGCAACATATGCTGGGAACAAACTTGAGTTGATCTTGTGTTGACGTTGGTTATCTGTGTTCTTGGCGTCTTCCCAACTGTCTTGAGTTATTGCTGTGCCTTCATGCCTGGAATTCTTGCTCCTGCCCTGCCGGATTAATTACCTCATTTTGTCTTCATTGGACTTAAAGTTACAGTTTTTGTTAACCATGTTTTGGACTTAATTTTCTACAGTTAAAAGCTGTTCCTGGGAGAGTTTTTCTCCAGCCCAAAAGGTAACCAGGACATTGGGGGCAAAGTTGGAGCTAATAAAGGGACTGTTATTAATTATATGACTGTGTTGCTTTTGTGCCACTCCCTAGGTCGTCACAGCAGCTGTTTAATAGTGAGTCCCACGGTTGTTAAGTGAATCCAGATTCCCCATTGATTTTGTTTGTTCGGAAGGTTGCAAAAAGGGGAATCACATGACCGTCATAAATATGAACCATTTGCCAAGCGATGGAATTTCGATCACATGACCATGGAGGAAGTTACAAATGTAATCACTGTGAAAACCGGTCGTAAGTCTCTTTTCTCCAGGCCGTTGTGATTTTGAATGGTCACTAAAACAAACTGTTGTATGTCGAGGACTACCTGCATAACACCTAGAAATATACAATCCTCAGCCGTTGAACTCGACTTCATTTAATCTTCCCCAAACTAAAGACTGAGTCAGAACTGGGAAGGCTTTGGAGCGAGACAGTGTTGTGGCTGGCCAGTGGAGCTGGTGGCAGACTCGGACAGTGAGAAGCTTGGGTCAGTCCTGGAGGCTGAGGAAGGGTCTGACGAGGGCTCTGCGTCAGAGGCAGAGATGGGGCCAGGGCTGTCTGAACAGTTATCAGCTGCCTTCGGAATTGGAGATCAGTGGGGAAGAAGAACAGCTGGAGCCTGTTCCCAGTGTGCACATGCACAGAGCTGCCAGAAGAAGGGAACAGTTAAGGAACAAGGGTCAACTTAGGAGTAAAGGCTCAGGTGGACGCTGAATGGCCCCTCCCATAGGGATTAAAGAGGAGTGAGTGGTGCTTGCAGGAGACAATTAGTTCATTTAATTGGGGTGAGGATTTGTTCCTGATCCTTGCCAAGTATTTCCTTCTATTTCCAAGCATTGCACTTGGAAGCTATCGGCCTGGCAACTCTCCAAGCCCGATAAGGCCTGTAGTTGTAAATCATTCTTGAAAGACTGTTTGCCGGGACATTGCTGGATGTGAATGAGAGGAATTCGCACTAGCCTAATAAAAAGAGATTTTCTCGGGACGAGGAGCCTGCTTCGTGAGGCTTGTATTGAAGCAGAGATTGGAAAGGAAGCCCGAGCAAAATGTTCAAAAAATCTCATTTATTTTTCCTATCCCTCCAACCCCTCCCCGACTCCCTTTTCACCTGGATAACCGGAGGAGGAACAGGAAAGAGTTTCTGGTTGGCGGTGAAATCCTCGACCCGCAGCGTTGCAGACATGATGATCAGTTTCAGCAGCTGCCCTTTCTGAAAACAAAAGAGAAACACAACGCTCAACGGTTGGGTTTTCCTGGAAAAATTAAAGATTACATTTTTTGGGGGGTGGGGGAGTGGACAAGAGGAAGAAGGCAGGGTGTTTGTGTAGAAGAGGCTTTCTCTTAAATCTGGCAAACGGTTTTAGCTGGCCTTTATCTTGCTTAAAGGTAGGCGATTTTTTTTAGAACAACAGAGTTGGAAGGGACCTTGTAGGTCATCTAATCTGACCCCCCACCCACCTAAGCTGGAGACCCTACACCCTTTCCAACTGATGGCAGTCCAATCTCCCCTTGAAAGCTTCCAGTGATGGAGCTCCCACAACTTATGAAGGCAACTTTTGTTCCACTGGTTGATTGTTCCCACTGTCAGAAAATGTTTCCTTGTTTCTAGGTTGAATCTCTCCTCGGTCAGTTTCCATCCATTATTCCTTGTCTGGCCTTCGGGGGCTTTGGAAAATAGCTTGACCCCTTCCTCTCTGTGGCAGCCCCTTATATTGGAACCCTGGTCCTTCTCTTCACTAGACTAGCCAGGCCCAGTTCCTGCAACCGTTCATTGTATGTTTTAGTCTCCAGTCCCCTCACCATCCTGGTTGCGCTGCATTCTTTCTAGAGGCTCAATGTCTTTTTTATAGTGTGGTGACCAGAACTGGGTGCAGTATTCTTGGTGTGGTCTTACTAAGACTTCATAGAGTGGTATGAGTACTTTACTTGATTTTGATTGTATCCTCTGTTAATGCCATTTAGGATTGCATTGTTCTTTGCTTGTTTTAGCCTCCAGTCCCCCTAATCCTCTTGGCTGCTCTTCTCTGCACTTTTTCTAGAGTATCAGCATCTTTTTTATAGTGTGGTGACCAAAAGTGGACACAGGATTCTGAAGTAAGACTCTTTTTGATTAAACAGAGCCCAGCGTGGAAACACTGCATACACTGCATCAGGGGTCCTCAACCACCGGGCCGCGGACCGGTACCGGGCTGTGGAGCACTCTGTACCGGGCCGCAAATAAAAAAAAATAAAAAAAATGGCGGCTTTCTTCGCCTTCGGTGAATGCTGCTGGGATCGGGCATCAAGGACACAAATGAAAGAAGGGGAGGGAGGAAGCAACCAAAGCCTGTCTTGCTCTCTGGCTCAGCGGCTTCGGTTTCCTCTCTCAGTCGCTCTCTCGCTGCTCCACCAGCCCAGAAAGAAACTGCTTCAAAGAAGCCGAGGAGGGGGGGGTGGCTTTTCCTGTCACCGCAGCACCTCCGAAGCACCCGTTCACCCCCACCCCGCCCGCCCGCGCGCGGTTCAATCCACAGTGCTCCATTCTGCCTGCCTGCCTGCCTTCTTCGTTTCTGGTGAGAATAATAACTATTCGCCTCTTTTTATCAGCTGAAGCTGCTCCGAAACAA